TCCTTCTCTGGAGATATTCCAGCCCCGCCTGGCCGCGGTGCTGTGCAGCCTGCTCTGGGTGACCCTGCTTGGGCAGGGGGCTGGGCTGGGTGACCCCCAGAGGTCCCTTCCAACCCTGACCATTCTGTGATTCTGTGTAATGAGCTCAGGGTGCTGTGGCAGGGCTGCGGAGGTGTCTGGAGTGACTAAAAGGACGTGATGCTTCCCATTAATCCGCAATCCCTGTGGTCTCCTTTGCAGCCAGCTGTGGTCCACCTCCAAGGCCAAGGCTCGGCAATCCAAGTGAAGAATGGTAAGGATCTCATGGCGTTGGCAGTCGTGAACAGAGCCCGTCCTGCGGCCGTAGCCTCGTGTCCGGGTCGAGGTCCGTGGGTGTCTGGAGTGACTAAAAGGACGTGATGCTTCCCATTAATCCGCAATCCCTGTGGTCTCCTTTGCAGCCAGCTGTGGTCCACCTCCAAGGCCAAGGCTCGGCAATCCAAGTGAAGAATGGTAAGGATCTCATGGCGTTGGCAGTCGTGAACAGAGCCCGTCCTGCGGCCGTAGCCTCGTGTCCGGGTCGAGGTCCGTGCTGTAACGCGGGGTCCCTGGCTGTCCCTGCTGGCGGCCTCTCCGATTCCCCCGCCCAGACCCCCGCAGAGGAGCCTTCTGCCCAGTGTCCATCCCCATTTCTCCTGGCTCCTGGAGATAATCCCAACTTATCCTGTGCACCCCGCTGAGTCTCCCTCTCCCTGACCTCCAGATGCGCGGTGGGCGTCCTCCCGCCTGCCGCTCCGGCAGCCCCTCGGTGGCCAGCCTTCTTCCCCCCTCCATCCCATCCGAAGCCCTCGGTGGAGCGTTTTCCTGCCTCAGCCCCATTAGCCTGTGTTTTTCTCCCGTTTTCCCAGTGATTTATGGCAGGGGAAGGCACAGCCGTAGCGTGAGGACGCGGAGGTTCCTCCCCGGCCCCGCGTGCACCTCCACCCCACCACCAGCCCTGAAGCCCAAGTCCTGCCCAGCCACGTCGCGTCCTCGGGCAGCTCTTCGCTCACCTCCTTCCTTCC